TTGCGTCTGATCACACACTGACAGACTGTGCCCACAGCTTCCAAGGGAGGTGTGATTGTGCAACCATCGGTCAAATTCCTCCGTAGGAAATAGCCTTGCTCCCCCCCACCCCCGTTTTTTCTGGTGCGTGTGACCGCAACCCATGACTCATCTGCGACTTGACCGCACTTTCCACCACCACTGGACATTGTGGTATAGCCCTCTTGGGGCATGCAGTGCCACTGGATTATTTTCAGGACAGACGGCTACATTCCATGCCGTGTGACTGTGTTTTATGTATTGTGTGGTGAAAGGTATTACGATTCAGAAAACAAAACGATACTGCCCATGTCAGATTTAAAAAGAAACACAAGCTTTATTAAGGAAATCTTGCCCCGATGGCTTTCACATGCGTTCCTTGTTTGTTAACCAGCCTCCACAAACTATCTGCCAACTCCCAGAAGCACATCTGAGGGCAGAGGCAGATGGCCACCAGAAATACGTAGTGAAAATCAGCGGTCTTTTCCCAGCGGTTCCTCTCTCTCGCCTGTACAACTGTGGGTTATAAAAACGACAACGCTTGAAGTGGCCAGATAGAGACATCGCACAGAGAGACACTTGAAGTATGCCTTCCAAGCGCAGAGCAGAAATCGGTAAAGATTTGAATTAAAAACAACAACCCAGTTTTGTCCAGGCACTTACCTAATTTGCCTTTACATGTGTGATGTGCATTTATTTCGCTAGCGGACAGGCAGCAAGGACCCGTCAGTCCATGGTCAGGATTAATAATCCATCTACCAAAGGAGCTACCTTAGGAAAGGTCATGGCTCAGTGGCAGAGCCTCTGCTTTGCATGCTTTGCATCACAGGTTCAATCTCAGGCATCTCCAGTTAAAAGGGCCCGGCAGTAGGCGATATGATCCTGAAAAGCCACTACCAGTCTGAGTGGACAATACTGACCTTGATGGACCAATGGTCTGATTCAGTATAAGGCAGCTTAATTTGTTCCTCAGGAGCATGAAAACTGCCCTGTAACATGTGTCCGTCACCTGGCTTCTTTGAAATACGAAGTCACAGGGAAAAGCTGGGAGGAGCTGAAGCTGTGGCTCAGTGGAACAGCACCTGCTTGGCATGCAGAAGGCCGCAGGTTCAGGCCCCGGCAGCTCCAGTTAGAAGGGATCTCATGTGATAGGCTTCTGAAAGCCATGCATGGATACCATCCGGAGTACTGGGATTGTACGCAGGGCAAGGCTAACCAGAGGCAGCTCCTTATGACACAGTTTGCTTCTGTGCCAGCACTGCCTCTTCCAGGAGCAGAGGCGAGGAAAGGATCCCCGCCATGATACCGTATTTGACTAGAGTGGCACATGAAGGCCACAGGCTAGAGCCGTTCTCACTAGAGATGTAAAATTTCCGGAAGTTTTGAAGCTCGGAAAAAAACCCGGTTTTTTGGGGGGGGGATGGAAATTTTGGGGAACATTGAAAAAAAATGCTACATTAGCATTTCTTTTGTCTTTTCTAGATTGAAAGTCATTCTGTTACTTTAGGAACATAAAATATGACTATGGACATTTTTACTTGGCATGAAATTATCACAACTAGCATATTAAAAATATAGCGTATCCAAACAATGATTACAAACAGAATACCCACCCACATGCAAAAACAAAACGGAAACCTTTTTTATTTTCTTCTGACAATAGCACCTCCTAAAGGAAGAAATGCATCTCGTTCTTGAATTGGAGAGTTCAGTTTGTAACCTAGGACTTGCTTGTCCTCAGTGCACAGAAATTAGATCAATCTGATACCATATATATATATATATATATTAAAAAAATGGTGGGGAAAAACTCCCCCCCCCCGCATTTTTCCGGTTTTTTTCCAGGCCTTCACATCTCTAGTTCTCCCAGCACTAGTGTGAGGCTGCGATCACACGCGTCAGAAGATCCGACATGGGCGTGAATGCCCGATGGATCGAAAGGGCATGATCAGACAGTGACATCTGAGAAGCATCCTGCAGCCGTCGGCAACCCGTGCTGCTCCGCCGCAGAGACAGAGTAAAAAGACACCGGAGAACATCCGGTAGTAAACGGGTTGCAACGAGCCACAGACGGACTTTCCCCTGTCTGATTGCGCAAGCATGCTTCCGAGCCATTGGGATGGTCTGATCAGGTTATCCCGGCTCGTTGCTGTTCGCCCCCTGCAGTATGCGCATCATCGCATACCCACAGAGAGGCCTCGGTGCGGAGGTGTGATTCCTTGTTTATGTGCATGTAATGCCATGCCTTCTGCCATTTCTTATGGCAGACTCAATAAGACGCAGTTCCGCAGGGCCTGCAAGACGGAGCTCTTCCGCCAGGCTTTTGAGTAGGAGCCACCACCATCACTGTACCATCACCGCGCTGCCAATTTTGGCAATGCGAGCTGGCCCTGGAACTGAAGAACGGACACAGCACAGACTGTAGAGCTAGTAGAGCTAGTAGAATTTTGAAACATTGCATTGGAGACCCCATCTTGGATGTTGTTTTGTGAGCACCGATTTTAAATGTAAATGTAATTGATTGTTTTATCTGGTTTTTATTGTTATGTATGGCAATTGCCTCCTGTCAGCCACCCTGAGCCCATGTGGAAGGGCGGGATATAAGTCAAATAAATAATAATAAATAATAATAATAAAATAAGATAGCCTACTCAGCTAGATACTGCCCTTGTAATAAAAAATGTGAGGAGTCCATCACTTATGTTCTTCTCTATTGTCACCTGTATACAGATTTACCTTATATGCATTTATATTCTGTTCTACTTAAGATGAGGGACTGTTCTGATGCATTTAAGGTTTATAGACTTTTGAATGGTTTCTCCTCTAATGTCACCGAGAAGGTGGCTAAATTTCTTTACTCTGCTATAAAGGTACGCCAAGGTACTGCTATAAAGGTACGCCTATAAAGGTACGCTTTACTCTGCTATAAAGGTACTCTGCTATAAAGGTACTCTGCTATAAAGGTACACAGAAATAATCTTATATTTACACTGATGTAGATGTGTGTTGCGGTTTTAGCTTACCACTTAAACTGTATTTACTTGTATCAATTTTTTTCTGTGCCAATAAAGGCTACTTAACTTACCTTAACTTATGTGTATGGGAAACAAGCAGTCAAAAGGAAAGACTCCCCTGCAGTTGCGTCTGACCACACAGTGACGGGCTGAGCCCGCAGCTAAAAAGGGCCGTGTGATCTCGTAACCGCGGGTAAAATTCCTCCCGAGGGAATAGCCTGTCTTTCCCTCCGCTTCAACTGGCGTGTGTGACCACAACCATAGTCAAAAGGGATCCTCAGTAAGGCTTCCTCGGGAGGTGGTGGGCTCTCTTTCTTTGGAGGTGTTTAAACAGAGGCTAGATGGCCGTCTGACAGCACTGCTGATTCTGTGAACTTGGGCAGGTCACGAGAGGGAGAGCAGGGAGGGTTGCCTCAGTGCTTAGTTCTTGTGGCCCTTTCTTACACCCCCAGGGAAATGCTGATGGCCACTTTGGGGACAGCAAGCAATTTTCTCCAGGCCACTTTGGCCAGAGATCTTGGAGCTTTCCCCCCCATCTTCTGGGCATGGAGCAGGAATCACTGGGGGTGGTGGTGGGGGAGATATTTGTGAATTTCCTGCATTGTGCAGGTCGTTGGACTAGATGACCCTGGAGGTCCCTTCCAACTCTGTGATTTTATGATTCTAAGTGCACAACTGCTTTGCAGTTTTACATAATCTCATCTAGAATGGTCAACCTTTTTTATGGATAGTTTCCGGCGAGTAGCCTTGTTGGCCTGCAGTAGAAGATAAACATTTGAGTCCAGCATCACCTTCAAGATTTGGGGGGTATAACAAGCCTTCTGAGAGCCAAAGCTTCCTTCATCAGATACAAGTAATCCTGAAGTCTCAGGGCTCTCAATTCCTTCTTGTATCCAAGTGCCTGTTTGGTGTCGTGGTTAGGAGCGTGGACTCTAATCTGGGAGAACCAGGTTTGAGTCCCCACTCCTCCACATGCAGTTGCTGGTGTGACCTTGGGTCAGTCATAAGTTCTCTCAGAGCTGTTCTCTAAAGAGGAATTGTGGGGAAGGGAAGGGAAGGAGATTGTAAGCCACTCTGAGACTCTGAGAGAAGGGCAGGGTATAAATCCAATCTCCTCCTCCTTCTTCGTCTTGGAGCTTTGGCTCTTGAAAGCTTGTACATCTTGTCTTTAGATATCTACTGGACTTGAATCTTATGGACCACCATTTCTTGACAAGGGTCTTTTTGTGAAGACAGCCAATAGGGAACTCAATTGTGATAAACCTTATGGGGAAGCTGAAGGGTTCCCGTCCCATCAAAATGCAGAAACACTGGGATGTTAAGAATAATTTACTTTGTTTGGATAATTATTAAGAATTAAGATTAGAGGATTTTGGAAATAGTTGAATATATGATTGTAGTTAAAAGAAATGTTACCTATATAGATGAATGTTTTGTTTTAGAGAAATAATAGACAGGAGAAGCAGAATAAGAAGGGGGTGGGAGCACTGCGGAAAGCCATGGGAGGGAGAGGGAGAATGAAGAGAAAAAAGGGTATATGGTAAATGAAGAGAGATTTTAATGTTAGACATGTTTTATATCCTGATAATAAAATGTTTTTTTTTAAAAAAATGCATCCATTATGAAACGCTGTTAGGGTTTTCTGTGGCCTCTCCATGTTCACGCTCCACACTTGAATTGCCGTGAGGTAAGTTAAGTGTTGCCCTTTGGAGGAAAGCAGTCAAATTTTTCAATTTGTTTACTTTCTCTCAACAGCCATCAACGTTCAGGGTGTGTCAGACACATAGAATCAAAAGACAGGAAGAGGACTCTCAATACAAGACACCGCTTTTGAAAAAGGTCTCGCTATTCATATTTTTACAGCCCTCCTTTTCATTCGAATGCGTTAAAATAACTTGCCATCTTCATTAGGATGACGTGGGCTGGTGAAAGTCCGTGTTTGCTTAACAAAAGGCTTTTGATACCTACCCTGCTTCACAGCCGGGGAGCTGTTATTCACCATGCCGGGAAGGGCCTTCTCCCCATCCTCCATCTGCAGTGAATTGGCTAAAGGGCAGAAGGGATGCTTTGGTAAAAGGGAGTTTGAAAAGCGGGCAAGGAAAACTCTGATTGCCTGACATTGACTGATCAACAGTTCATTAACGGATCAGTCATACCACGTTATTTTGAAATAATCAAACATAATAGGCATTGCGTTCAGCAATGTGGTAGTTTATTTCTGTACTGTTCATAAAGACTCTTCCATGGGGACTGCGTCTCTTTGTTACTGTCCTCAAAGTCACCAGAGAAATAGTGGCTATACTACCTTCATCTTGAAACAAACAATTTTAGATGGAAGGCATGGGCGTGCGTGCCTGAATACGAGTTCTTATTTGTACATGAGAGGGAAGAAGAAAAGAAGAGATTGGATTTCTTCCCTGCCCTTCACTACCCGAAGGAGTCTCAGAGCAGCTTACAATCTCCTTTCCCTTTCCCTTCCCCTCCCTTCAAGAGACACCCTGTGAGGCAGGTGGGGCTGAGAGAGCTCTCTCGAGAACTGCTCTGAGGAAACTTGTAATTTGGCCCAAGGTCACACCAGCAGCTGTATGTGGAGGAGTGGGGGAATCAAACCCAGTTCTCCGCACTCCTAACCACACCAAACTGGCACTCTGCAAACATACACGCACACACACAGTTGTACGGCTGTGGAGAGGAAAGCACTCCAGAGAGTTGTTATTACAGCCCAGAAGATCATTGGCTGCCCTCTCCCATTCCTGGAGGAATTGTATAGTTCTCGATGTTTGAAAAAAGCAAAGAACATTTTGC